GAATGGCGGTGGAAGCGGTGGTGGAGACGGCGGTCTAGCCGGTTGTGGTGGTGGCTCGGCTCTTGCTTGCACCCGTGTGGTTAATGCTAGTTCGTCAGGTACAATGAGTTTTTTAAATGATTGATTGCATTTTGTGGAATTTTTATTTTTTTGGTTATATGAAGATCTAACTGAATTTTTTGCTAAAAAAGTAACCATTTTGGATATATATAAAATGTCCACCGGATTTTGGTGCTTTATATGTTTTGTTATGTTTATGATTGTTCTTATTTTGAGTCACTGTTCTTAAGTAAACTTGACGACACAAAGGATGTGAAATTTAACGGATTTCAAGAGATATCACAAAACCCACTATATAAGATTTGATTTTTTTCTTCAATATTTTGATTGAACAAACACAACTTGATTGTATAGTTTTACAAGATTTTTTTATTCCATATATTAATATATTATTCATAAATCAAACCTTTAAGGTAAAATTAAACAAAGGCTAATTACGTTTTCTTACACAAAGATTTTGGATTTTATTCGATATATATATGTGATTCAAAAGCCATAACTTTATTTGTAAAATTATGTTTTGTTTGGATTTTTACAGTAATTCTTTATTTCTTATGAAATTAGGGTTAGAGACAAGTCACTTACCGCCGGAGATAAGTTCACCGGCGGTTTTCCGGTGTATGAGAGTCAGCTCAGTCGACGATGAAGACGAAGAGTATGCATATCAGACGATTGTGAGCATTGGAGGACACGTGTTCAAAGGCATTCTCTACGACCAAGGCGCATCGGATTACCACCACCACCGCTACAGCTCAAGCCCCGCCGCTGCAGCAGCCGAAACCTCTCAATACCAGCTTAACCTCTTGGCCTCTAACGCTTCAGCCGCCACTACAACCGCCGTGACCGCCGGTAACGGATCGATTGACCCTTCTTCGCTTTACACCGCGGCGGCTCCGTTTAACACCTTTGTCGCCGGCGGTACGCCTTTCTTTGCATCTCCTAGAGATTGAAACATTTTAATAATCTTTAAACGTTGTGATTGATTATAACTACTATTATTAATTATCAGAGAACGACGAGTACGAAAAATGATTAATTAGAGGGTTTTTGTTGTTGTCGGAAAATATGGTGACTTTTCGTACCTAGCTAGGGTTTGTGAGTACTGATTAACATGCACATCGTACGTTTTCTTAGAGATAAATTGGAGATTATTTTTTTATTTATTTTATTGTTTGGAGAAACGAGATTATTTATTAAGTTAATGTCAGAGTTTCAAGTTTGATCTTCTGCTTGTTCATTTTAATATTTGATCTTCCCAATGCGATCGACATAACTTCTACTTTTTTTTATCAACGATCTTTTAAATAATGTCTTACGTTTTTTTTTTTTTTTTAAGTTAGATGTTCTGTATAAAATAGGTTTTTTATTAAAAAAAAAAACTTTTTTTCTTCTGTATAAAATAGGGTTTGGTTTGACAGTGAATTGGCTTTCTGGTTGGTGTTGAACTCGAAGCTGCTTTATCCCAGTTTATCCGTTTGCTTGCCGGATCTGAAACAGGACTTAACTAGGTTTCGTGTTCCATTGAGCAAACAATTTCAAATCTATTTATATACATGAAAAACTTTTTTATGTTACCCAATCCAATATCCGCAGAGTAAAACAGTAGGAACCACATCATTAGTTCACAAACCATTTGATATTTATTTTTTACATTTATCGAATATATAAACTCTTATCACAAAAAGAGTTGGAAATCATCAGAAATCAAATTATAGGGCTTATCTCCGTGTCTTCTTTTTTAAAAAATTACCCGAAGCAAATTAAATTAAGTTCCTTCCAGCAATCGGATAAATACTAATCGATAGTAGTTACAAGTTGTTGTTATCGCATGAAGATGACGACTTATTGTGGAGGATCAGACGTTAGAGTTAATTATCGTGAAGAAAAATCATCAAAGTTATTTATGAGGACAATACATTACATGTGAAATATCAATTGTTGAATGGAGAGTATTTTAGAGCATTTAAATTCACTAACTATAGAAGAATTTTCTCAGAAAAAAAATCCACTAGCTACACTTCTGTGCAAGAACAGAATTATAACTATTTGTGTATGACTTGCATGGATCTGACTAACATTTTTGTTTGTAGATATATTAACCCAATTCAAAGTTTTTGTAGATAGAAAGATACTACTATTAATTTCCAGTTAGTAGTTGGTCAAAGTAGCAACCCTCTCTCATGACCTAAATTTTTGATCTGCGTCAAACACGGGATTAAGATATTCGAAAAATAAAATTCATGAGTTTTTATAATACACGAAAGAAATTAGATTTTATCAAATAGTATATCTTCCATATAAATAAATAAATGTTATCTTACAAAATTTAATTTGCATGAAAGTTAGATTAATGTAAACATTTTTTTATGTAAATCGAAAGTATATGTTCTTTCAAACTTATTTGAGATCACCAAAACAAAAAAAAATATCGAGAGAATACGTAAAAATCTTTTCAAATAAAAATTAAAGAAATAATAGAAAGTGAAAATAATGATTTTTCAAAATTTAAGCATTAATATTTGATTTGTAAAATTGTATGTTT